ATACACATCTTACCTGTTGTCCTAGCTGTACTCTGGGGAAGAATTGAGGCTGGTAAGATGTTGACATTGAGCCCTGACCAGTTTGGCTCAGCAGTTAGAGCACTGGCCTGAGGACCAAGAGGTTGTGGGTTCAATTCCTTGTCAAGGGCACGTACCTGGGTTGCAAGTTTGATCCCCAGCCCTGGTTGGGGCCGTGCAGGAAGCAACCGATCGATGTGTCACTCTCACATCGACGTTTTTCTCTCTCTCTCTTCCTCCCTCCCTTTCATTCTATCTAGAAATCAATGGGAAAATATCCTTGGGTGAAGACTAAAAAAAAAAAAAATGTTGGTGTTGAAATACATGCTCACTTATTGGCCACCCTTACTCCACTTGATGGGAACGAAGTTAACAAACCTCCAGGAGGTGCCAGGGAGCCATGTGTCACAGCACACTGCCACCTCTTGCCTCTCAGTCTCCTTATATGACCTTCCTATGTGCTGATAAGAGCAAGATAATGGAAGGGAAGGAAGAGGAACCTGGAGAACAGCGGGGACAGGAGCAAGGCACCCAGAGACCCCTGGCCCAAAGCGCGCCCAGGGATGCCGCACCTCACCTCAGAGGAGGGCGCTGGCGCTGCGCCCCGTCTGATGCCCGGGGCGGCCGTGATCTTGCACACGTGTCCCTGTGGCGGCAGCTGAAGGAGGGGTATCTAAAGCCGCCCCCCTCCGGCAGGAAGTAAATTTCCACGTCCCAGGATTGCAAACGGCCTCTTAGGCAAGACGCTCCTTTGAAACCGCCCAACTGGTGCCTCAGAGGGGAGGACAGTTATGGAATCTGCCAGCCGTGGGTTCAAAGCCTAGATGTGCAATTTATCAGCGGAATAACCTTGGACAGTTATTTACTCTCTCTGTATTGATTTCCTGACCAATCGCACAGGGATGAGGAGCCCCCCCAGGTGGTCCGGGATGGAGTGGTTCCAGGGATGTAAGCGCTGGCCCCAACGAGCCTGCCCGGCAGCTTCAGTCACCGCCGCCCCTAGAGTCCTGGGGGCTGGGGCGGCTGTGCACGGGGTGCTCAGGCTCGGTGCGCCTCCCCTCCCCCAGGCTGTCTGCCGCTGGCAGGCCCGGCCATCACGTTTTTTCTGGATGGTTCGGAAAGCAGCAGGACCTGCCTCTTCGCTCCAAGGATGAGTGAGCAACTTCAGTGGTAACACTCGGGTACATGAGACTATCTTCCCTTGATAAAGTATCAGGTTCTGTCAGGCCTCCCGACAGCCAGCGAGGACAAGGAGGCCCCCACCCCGGGCAGATCAAATCAATGAGCAGGGGTTTGTACTTCCAGTTGAATATCAGAAGTGAATGTCAGTTTCACTTCCTTAACACAACCCACATCCACCACTGTTTTGCTATAAAAGTTTTCTTTGTGAGATAAGAAACGCTTTGGAACCCTGTGTTCTGAGACACAGTATTACCCAGAGGACACCTCAGGGCCATCTCATGCTTTATTTTACTCAGTAACCAGCTTTATTGTTATTAATATTATACACTTTCTGTCAGAAATCCAAGACCTGCTTCTCAAATACCTGTTATGGGCCCCACTCCTGTGATTATAGGCGAGAAAATGTTCTAGTCCGAGTCCTGTCCTGTGACCCTGTGTTGCTGGAACCTTGTGAACCCTAGCATTTATCTTCACTCGGTCTTGTGGGGCCCCAGAGCCACACTGAAGCCAGAGGATAAACACTCCCTTTTATTTGTTTTTTATTAATTAATTTATTTTTGTTACAGATGTTTCTCCTTTTCCCCCTCAGACACCCTGCTCCCTATACCCCCACCCCCACCCCCACCCCACCCCCACCCGACCCCCACCCTTCTCCTCTGAGGTTTGTCAGTCTGAACTGTACTCCTTTCTATGTCTCTGAGTCTATTTTGTTCATCAGCTTTTTCTGTTCATTATATTCCACAAATATGTGAGATAATGTGATATTTGTCTTTCTCTGATTGGCTTATTTCACTTAGCATAATACTCTTCAGGTCCCTCCATGTCGTCTCCGGGATAAGAGATCTTTCTTTCTTACAGCTCCATAGTGTTCCATTGAAACACCCCCTTTTAATAAAAACATTATCTTCTGTTTCTGTAGGCAAGGGCCCTCTCTCCAGGTGAGCAGCTCATCCCAGCTCTCTCCGTACCTGGTTTCAAAACCTGCCCTTTCAATAGCTTCTCAAGAGTTCTTGCTTTATCTTGAGACTCAGAGACAAGCCTTACCCGGCGTGTCTGTCTGGGGCAGCAAAGATGCTGTCACACAGATCTGCGACTCCTATCTTCATGAGACACTCGCAGGCGGGACGCACCTACCCAGACCATCAGTGAAACTAGCCGCCACCGTGCTCAGAGCCCCTGCCCCTGCCCCTGCGCCCCCCCTCCCCCTTTTATCCTCAGCTCTTTTAAAAGCCTTGCGGAGAAAGGGTCTGAGGCCACACCAAAGCCCTCTGGGAAAGTGTGCTGCGATGGATCACAAATGTCTGTCGGGAACATGGTATAACAGCAGGGTCCCAGAGGAGGCGACCCTGGTCTAACCTTTTTATAACTTAAGTGCCAAGTGTTCACAGAGCAGCTGTCTTCAGCATTTTCAACTTCCTCTTCAACTAGAATGCCTCCTGGACTCAATGAAATTAAGTCCTTTCCTTAGCATCTTAGTGGTTCAGTTGGACATTTTGTCCATGTTTCTTGTGACCCTGTAGTATTATTTATCTTTTCCGAGCCCTGGCGTGATGCTGTGCAGAGCTAGGCCGCAGTCTCAGCACTCTGTGCATCGCTCTCCCTCCTTCCCCTCACTGAGCAGACGTTGGCTCGGTGGCCTCACCACTCAGTCCCCATCATCCTTCCATCCTGATGGGAACTCTTGTGTGCCAGCCAAGCCCCAGGCCCTCCCTCGAACTGCTTCTCCCTCATGTAGTCCTGATTTCAATTTTATTTTTGTCTCTAGCCGATCTTGATATTCACTTCCTAATTAGTGATGATGAGAGTTTCAGTGGTTGCTGAAGCCTGGGTATTCTCGAAACTGCGGAGCTTACAGCCAGCATCAAAGGGAAACCCAGGGTAACAGGATTAACTAGTGACTGTTAGCTTAGTCATAATTTTCTATATTTTCCCATTTTATCAATGAGCATATATAACTTGCATATTCGGGGGTGGGGAGTGTGATTTAAGAACAAAACATCTGGACTAGTGTTTGTAGCCTTTTCTTTTTTTTTCAACAGCAGAACTCTGCTCCTGAACTCAGATCTGAGAGGGAAACAATAGAGAGTAGCTGTTCTGGTTGAAGCGAGGTCTGTGTGTATGTGTTAGTGCATGTCTGGGTATGCATGTTGTGTGTGTGTGCGCGCGTGTGTGCGCGCGTGTGTGTATGGGGTACCCCCTGTGTTGCTGGATATTCTGATTGTTTTCATCCCCAGAAGGGAATATCCAGCTGGACCCCCTTTGCCCATCGAGCAGGAAACAGTCTGGCCCCGAGCGGGCCTCTGCTGTTAGTTCCCGCCTTTCAGCCCAGAGCCTGGTGGCTGATTTGGCAGCATCAGCTGTGAGTAGCTGCATGTTTCTGGGCAGGAACATTCCTTCTGTGTCAGTTCACAGACTGTCCTCTTCTCCTGTATCCTCCAGCGACTCTACCCAGGGGCCGGCGGGGACGGGGCGGGAGACGGGAGGTAATGTCACAGACAGGTCCGCTTTTCAGGACAGCCTATTCAGAGGAGATATCAAAAAGTGCTTCCCTGAGATGTTCCTGGATGGGCCTGAGCTTCTTCCATTCTCTCAGCATGTCAGGACCCCACCTGGCTCCCTCACGCGTGCGCTACGGGCCTCTCCATTTCTGGAGGGGCTAACGCCCGCCCACCCTCCCGGGGCTGGATGATCTGGGGAAGGACGGTGTGGAGGAGGGAAGGACGAAATCACGTGTGTGCCAGCTCCAGAGCCAGCCGCCTGGGTCTGAACCCGGCTCTGCCACCTGCTAGCTGTGGCCTTGTTCAGGTTCCTCGTGCCCACTCTGAGCCTCAGTTCTCCCCTCTCAGAAGGGTTAGTACTGGCTCCTGGCCCCTAGGATCCTCGTGAAAACTAATCCTGAGGGTTAATGCGTGTCCAGTGTTTAGTGCAGTCATGGCAATAACTTTATAAATGTCCGTTGCTTTGTCATGAGGTTGATGGCCCTTAGACACACTGTCTTCCCAGCTCTTGATCTCCTTGGCAAGGTTCTGACCAAGATTCTAATGCGTACGAGGAAAGAAAGCTGCACTGTGAGCTTCCCGGTGACTTCGCTCTGTGGTGGTGAGCACGCCCGCAGTGGCGGGGCGAGCTCTGGGGCCCGAGGAAGCGCGTGAGCCCCAGCCCGCCCTGGCCAGGGAGGCGGCGGCCGGTGTGTCATCCCTGCAGGAGCAGCTGGAGCCTCTTCTGTGTTTCTGGAAAGAACGCTTTGTGACCAGACCATGGGGGTGAGCAGGGTCTGTTCACACAGCTGTTTGGGCGCCGTTTCTTGAGTACCTGTTGTAAGGCCAGGCCCCACACAGTCTCTCTTCTAGGCACGTGACCCCTGTAAAGAAGCGGGGCACTCATTTTCTCAGATCAGGAACCTGAGGCTCACAGGGGAAATCAGCCAGCACCCCACGCTAAAAAGCAGGACAGCTAGCACCCAAACCTAACTGCAAAGCCAGCGGCTTTCTGTTACCCTGAGGTAGTTCTTTCTCTTGCCATGTCCCCAGAAGTACTGTGGAGCAGGTTTACACCAACTTTAGGCCCTTAGCGTATGACTGTGTCTTGAAACGAACTCCTGCTGAAACATCTCCTACTTTCCCTGCCAGAAAAGGTGATTGTCCAGAGATTCCAGCTGGGCAGCCACGCTGGGTCTGCTCCCAGACGGAGAGCGCCTTTCCCAAGCCATGGCTGCCTTTGGACTGGGCCGCCAGTGACCATCGCCTTCCCTTGCTCTGGACACATGCTCCAGGACAGATTTGAATTCACCATGTTTGCAGGTCGACCCCATAAACACTGGCCTGGCCTGGAGACCACCGGAACATTCCTGGACTGGCGACATCCAGAGGGAGTCGCCTTCCGGCCTGGCAGGCACGACGTCTGAGGGACAGAGCCGCGCAGAGAGCCCTTCTGTCCGCCGCAGAGGAGGCACGGGACTCGCACCGACTCGGCTCGCCCGCCTCGAGGTCTGACATGGACGATCTGGAAACGCTCTCATCAGCCACTGGCTCCTGCAAGGTGACTTGTGGTCTCTCTTGTCATGTGCCACCCTCTGCCCTGTGCCCGTGGAGCATTTGGGTTTGTGTGTGGTCTCCTTCTCAGAAGAGTGTTTCTGCTGTCTGCCATTTCAATATGGAGACAGGGCATCGAGTTCTTTGCCAATAATATTCCTTCTTTTAACAGTGTCTTCCTGCCTTTACCTGTCCCTGACATCTCTCTCTCTCTTTTCCCTCTTCTCCGTCTCAGGAGAAGATGCCAGAAAATGGTACCTTGCTTTTGGCTTTCTTTGTGCGGATTCTTTTAGAGAGCTTAATGACCCACCGTTGCGGTCTCATCTCCTAACATTTCTACTTGTCTCTCACAAGGTTCATACTTTTATTACCGGTAATTTTTTTTTAATGAAAAATGATCAAGTTGTGTGATTTCTAGAGTTGTCTTATGCTCCTAAAGGATATTCCTCTGGCCTGTCTTAATCTCTCTTATCAGGAGCCTCGTTGATCTCTCTTATCAAGTATTTATTTTCAAAAAAAAGTGGCTTTCTGAAGCCTACTGTTGTCTGACAAGACAGCTTTCTGGCAGTCACCTATTATCCAGCTTTCTGACAATGTCCTAGAGGATCTACTTCCAGTTAGCCAGGGGCGGCCAGTCCCCAGGGCGAGAGTGAGTCAGGATGGCACAGTCCCCGGCCATAAGGAGTTGTTGATCTGTCATGACTTAGCTTCCCCTCAAGGACTGAGCTCTTGGGACATTTGAATAGAAAGGTATCCATCTGTTGCTGACTCTTGGTTTGCAAAGTTACCATTTGAGGTTTTTAATATGTGTTTTCCTCCATCTCCTTTGTAACTATTCACCTTTCATTCCTTCAATCAATATTTACTGAGAAGCTACTATATGCCCAGTGCTGAGCTAGGCCCAGGGTTAGAGTCATGAGCAAAATCATCCAAGCTCCCTGCTGTCCTGCAGCTTACAGTCTGATGAAGAAGCAAGATGAGCGAATCCAGTACTTACACTAAAACATGTCAAATTCCAGCCATGCAAGTGTGCGAAGGGGAGGCGTGTAGGGCTGTGAGCGCAGGTGACACAAAAGGCTGGTATGCTCTGGGCAGGTGGCGCTCAAAGCATGGTCCCCAGACCGGCAGCCTCAGCCTCACCTGGGACCTAGTTACAAAAACACGTTCTCCTTTCCCAACCCAGACCCAGTGGATTAGAAGCTCTGGGGGTGGGGTCTAGCATTCTGTGTTCATACGTCCTCGGGAGACTGAGAAACATGTTCAAGTTTGAAAACTCTTGCTCCAGATGGTAAAATGGGGCTTCTCTGAAGATACAACTTTTAAATTGTGAAAGAACACTAGGCAATAGGGTGGGGTGGGGAAAGTCTCTCACAAAGAAAGAATGGCATGTGTAAAAGCCCTGTAGTGAGAGCGGAGAGTTTATGGAAACATGAGGGATTACTCAAGAGAGGAGAAGAGTGATAAAGAGGAGCCCGGACAAGTTGCCAGGAGCCAGGATACACAGGTCATGGAGGCCTCATCAAAGATTGGGCAATAGGAAGCTTTTGATGTGCTTTAAACACAGGGATGACACAACCTTGTTTGTTTTTATTTAAAGAATAAATCGACCTGTAGTGTGGGGAAAGGACTGAAGAGTGGCAGGAGTAGACCAGTTTTGGAAGTCATCACAGGCACCTGGAGAAAGATGATGGTCACTTGGACAAAGGTGGTGTGTGGAGGGACAGAGAGAGGGGTGCATGATCACAAGAGTCTTAGGTGAAGTCCACAGGTCTTGGCTATCCATTGGAAGTGTTAAGGATGACTCTGGCATTTTGTTTTACATGCAGGATGGAGGGGAATGATGCCAAGTTAGACAGTGGGAAGAAATCATGAGATGGTCCTGTTGAGTTTGACATGCCTCTGAGCTACCTAAATGTAGATATCGATTAGATGGTAGAAGGTGTGACTCTAGAGCTTGGAGGAGCCATCCAGGCTGGTAATACACGTGGGGGAGTTAGTCATCAAATCTAAGTGGCAACTGAAATTGTGGGCCAGGATGAGATCATTCCGAGAGAACGAATGTAATGAAGAAAAGAAAGCCAGAATGCTCATTGAGGAACTTGACCATTCTTGTTTACTGGTCAGATAGAGTTAGGATGACCCCCACAAAACACATTTAGTGTACAGAGCCAAAGAGAAGGAGGAAACTAGACATTAGGAGAAGACAGTGTCACCGAGGCCAAGGGAAGAAAGAATTTCAAGGCGGTAGTGCTGGAATAGTGACCAGGAAAGAGATGTCGAGTCAGGAGTGTTCTGGTTTGTTGGATTTTTGAGTGTGAGCGGGTTTTGCATGCTAACGCCTAAGGATTTCGCTGACGGGATGGTGGGATAAAAGAAAGCATCCTAAACTAGGGGGGAGCACACAGAGCCTCGGGATTCTGTAAATTCTGCTCGGCCTGAATCTCTGAACCTCTGTGACCTGCCAGCCAGCTCGCCTGACCTGGAATGCCTGCCGGCCCTCCTTCTCTTGGCATCTCTGCTCCCCGCTGTCTGCCCTGCCCACAGCCCCTTTCCTGCAGCCTGCTCAGCTGTTTTCTCAGCTTTGTTCACCACCGCTAAGCTATTAACTTGTCAGGGTCTAGACTCCTCACTTCCTTTCCCACTCTGAAAGCGCGCTTGGCTCCTTCCTGTCCGCCGCCTTGGAACGTCGGCATTTGGAAGGCTGGGTTCTCTGCGGGGCACTATTGGCAGACACGCAGAATTACAATTAATATAATTGGTATAGGATGTTGAAGTCTTCTTAAACATATTCATACAACTGAAAAAGGAATAATGAACACCACCATGTCTCCATTACTTTAGATGGGGAGGCAAGAGGTGAACTTAAAATAGACTATTCAAAGTAACCTCTCCCAGAGGGTTCAGTTTTAAAGGGGCACATATATACATGTCAAGGACCATCAGGTTCTCACATGGACTCAACTAGGGTTAGGAATAACCTTTAGTTTTAAAAGCAGACTCTGAAATAGGTAGGTTGTTTTAATATGTGTTGCTACTACTCTAAGACAAATTTTGTCTAAGATTCTTTAGAAAAATTTTCAGCAGTTCTTTAAAAAGGATTGAATGGTTTTTTCACCACCTAGCACTTCTGAAGTCATGAATTAACTGCGGTATGATGGACTAAAGGTACAGACTGTCTCCTATTTGTTGATCTACATCCTGCTGAAATGATTTTTTGTCTAAAGGTAAAATTAAGGCACAAAGAATATTTTTGAGAATCTATTATGAACAGATCTTTTACTTATGTCATTACATTGATTCCTTGCAGTCCTTTGAGGCATATACTATCTATAGATTGTACAAATACAGAAATCAGGGCTCAGACTGTTCAGTAATTTCCCAAAGTTCACACCTCTAGAGAGTGGCAGACAGGTAGTTCTAGAGCTCTGGTCTTCTTGCTCATACATGGAGAAGCGGCAGTCATTTTTGTAGTAATAGTAATAGTAGCAATAATAGCTGTATCTACTGTGCATCAAATCCTGGATGCAGAAGAAGCCTTCATATATGTCCTATTTAATCCTATAACAACCCTGCAAGCACAAAACCACGGTCTTCATTTTACAGAAGAGGAAACGGACTCAGAGAGGTTAAATTCTGTCCAGTCACATAGCTTTCCAGTGAAGAACTGAACTCAAACCCAGTTCCACCTGACCCTGACATTTTACTCTAAAGTAACCTTGTTTGTCAAGATTAGGGCTGTTTTCCTGGTCTCAGAAACAAAGCCCGAGGCATGGTAGATGTAAATATTTTTTTCCCTAATGTTGACTATACAGCTGCCTCCCAGCACTCTCCTTGAGCCAAAATACCGAATGTTTATTTCATTTTTGTTCCTTGTCAGCCTTGAGAGGGGAGGACAGACACACCAACCATTTCTGTGAGCGTACACATTTTGGTAAGATACTTTCTCATGCATCTAGCAATTTCTTCTGGCAAGACCCACCTTCCAAACCCAGACCAGGCCAAGAAAACCTCTACTGCAACCAGAATTAAATATCACAAGTTGGCGAGTGAGCTCATTTACTGTGTCTGGAGAAGAGTCCCTCCCATGGTCACACAGACTGGTTTGCTCTAATTTTACACATAATTGTAAGTCTTTCTTTTCAGCTTAGTCCATAGCAACACAATAGAGGAAAGCCCACTGCAGATTAGTGCCGTAACACCAGAGAGAGTAATAATTGAAACAAGAACCAATAAGCAGAGAGGGGAACCCGGAAGGAGAGCCGGACGGCTATTCTGTTCTCTCTCCGTAAGTGTGGCAGCTGAGTCCGCTCCAGTACTGTTTCACGTTATGGCCATGCTGAACTTCAGGAAAAGTTGACATGAAATTATGTTTGGTTTATAGTAATGATCCAGTTGAGGAAAGTAGTGATGATGTGTGTAGGGTTCATATATATATATTTTTTTTAGAAAAAATGCATCAGTGCTCTATCTGTCCTTCCAACCTAGCTGTCCAACAAAGCTTCCCCAGGGCCCTTGCATGGCTCACCTGTGGGCCCGAAGCGCAGCACGTGGCAGACAGCATGTACTCAACATTAGGTGATGAAATCCCAAATGCGCCCTGGCTGGTTTGGCTCAGCGTTTGGATCATCGGCCTGCAGACCAGAGAGTCCCGGGTTCGGTTCCTGCTAGGGGCACGTACCAAAAAAAAAGAAAAAGAAAGAAAGAAATGCCAAATGCCTTTTTCCTGAGGTGACCTGTCCCACTCCTGTCACTTAGGAGGCTGCGTTCCTGGGTGTATTCCAGGATGACTGTGAAGGCAAGAAGGGGAAAGACCAGGATATCTCCGTGTTTACTGTTTTTACACAGTAAAGGAGATGATCCCCAGCCTCCCTTC